CTGACACCCCCATCACCGGCGCTCCCACAGGTGAGGGATTTTGGCCGGTCACCTGCCCCACAGGAAGGCTGGAAGCCACAGTACTTGGAACAGAGCCTGTCGTAGCCTGTTGAATAGCTCCTTGAGACTGCATAATTGTCATGTGCTGCATGTATTCGGTCTGACCAGAAGGTTGCGTCGGTAGTAGATGCACTGGTGGAATCTGGGACTGAGAATAAGCAAATTGTTGAGGCTGAGTCACTGGTATGTTTGCCTGCTGCACTTGCTGCTGTGCCACAGAAATGCTTGGCTGCCCTATTGTCACATTTGGAGGTGCCATGCCTTTCCCGTTGGGTCCAGCCTGTGCAACACCCTGCGTATTTACCTGTGGCTGTGATTGCTGTGGCACCATCATTTGCTGACTTGCTACCGAAGCCCCAGAAAACATAGGCTGAGTAGTACTTTGAGGCATGGCCCCTCCTATGGGTTGTTGCGGCTGCTGTTGTTGTCCAATGACAAAATTAGGTTGCTGTAGAGAGGACTGGTTCATTTTCTCTGTCTGGAGCAGCTGTGACACAGCAGTCAGGGAACTGTCAGCTATAGAATCAGGGCCATGGGCCGATGCTGGCACCGCCGAGACCACGACGGAACCCCCTGTGGCACCGAGGCCGCTGTCCCTCTCTTGAGCAGCTTGCTCGAAGGTGCTGCTGTGCCTAATGCAATCTCCAGTCCTGCCCAGGACACCACCACTATCCGAGTCTCGGTCATAATACTCCATACACGTCCATCGTCCTCGCCTGTAGGGCTCCCCTGTACCATGGTCCAGCTTGATCACCCTGAAGCGCGAGCTGCACGCAGCAGCCACTGTCTGAGACATCGTCCCAGCAGCGGCAGATGCAGGAGGCCCTGTGGAGGGCAAGGCGGTTTGAGCACTGCTGCCTCCTGCCACAGCAGTGCCAGGGGCAGCAGCTGGCAGGGGCACAGCGGAGCTCTTGGGCACAGCCCCCCCATTGGGGGCCACTGCTACCCCGCCAGCAGCCACAGCCAGCTGCCCCTCCAAAAGGGGGTTGGGAGAGACGCTGCCAGGAGTTTCAGCCTCGCCCACGTTGTTGAGAGTCTCTTCGGAAGAGCTCCGCTCGCAGACATCCTCGGGGCCGTAGTCGGTGGCTCGGGAAACATCGAAGATCTCAGAAGACACGTCCTCGGTGCGGGACTCATCTGGGTCGTCCAGGCTCTCGGTGTCCTCGGTGATGCTGCTGGCCACCTGGGCCGTGGTCACGCTGGTGATCTGGAAGCAGCTCTTCTTCTTGGCCGGCATCTTGGACATGTTTCCTCCGCGGGGAGGGGCTCCGGCAGCCGGGGCGAGGCGAGCACGGTGCCGGGGCGGGCTGTCAGGCCGTGCCGGTCGGGCCGCCGGCGCTACCGCACATCCTCCGGCTGCTTCCTGCGGCGGGCGGGCGGGCGGGCAGCGCGGGGGGCGGCGGGGCTCCTCCTCTTCCTCCCCGTCCGCAGCCCTCCTCCCGCGGCCGGGACGCGGGGCCTCCTCCTCCTCCTCCTCCTCCTCCTCCCCGCCGCAGCCCTCTCTGCGGGACCGGCCGAGCGCCCTGCGGCTTCCTGCCGGCCTCGGCGCGGCGCGGGCCGCGGGCGAGCGCGGCGGCCGCAGAAGCGGAGCCCACGGCCCGCCCCACGCGAGGGGCCCCGGGCGAGGCCGAGGCCCGGGCCCAAGCGGCCCCGTCGTCCCCCCCCCTCCTCCTCCCCGGCCTGTCTCCGCGCTCTACCTGGAGACCAGCACCAGGCGCATCCTGCTTGGAACCGGCCCGCGGGCGAGCCCCGCGGGCAGCCCCTTCCCCGTCCCCGGGGCGACGAGGCGGCGCGGCGGAGGACGAGGAGAAGCGGCGGGCGGCCCCGCTGCGCTGGCCGGCCCCGGGAGCGCGGGCTCCTCCGCGGCTCCCCGCGCCCAAGATGGGGCTCAACTTCTGCTGCGCGGCACCCTGGGAAGGGCGGCGGCCACGCCCCCCACGGACGCTGCGGCGTGGTGACGTCACGCCCCGCCGGAGATCGGTGTGGCGAGGCGGGGGGAGCGGGGCGTGAGGCGGCCGTTTGGAATGCACCACCCCCCCCCCCGCCAACCCCTCCCCGCCCCCCCCCCCTCCCCCCGCCCGGTTTGGTCCCGCCCGGCCGCGCGCGGCGCCGGCCCCTTCCCGCCGTTTGCGGCGCTGAGGGGGAGCGGCGGGAACCGGACGGGACGGGGACGGGAGTCCGGCCGCTGCTGCCTCCCGCGGAATGGCGCCTGCCCTGGCACAGTAGCAAGCGGTTGCAGACACTCACTCCTCTCATTACCAGAATCGTCATATTTCCCAGCCCAGATTGGCTGACGGCCGATGCCTAGCCGTGGCTCTTGCATCCAAACCAGCTCCCCGCGGTTTGTCGCCGCTGCCGTGGCCCCGCTCGCAGCCCGCCGCGGCGGGCGCTCCAGCCTGGCCCGGTGCCCGCCCGCCCCAGCGGCGCGGCCCACGGCCTCGCCGGTGAGGCCCTGCGCCCGCCGCCGCGCAGCGCGGCTTCCTCACTGTCCGTTTCCACTGTGCTTCCTGCTAGATCCCCTTTTGTTGTTTGTTTTGTTCGGTTTTGTTTTGTTTTCCCACAGCTACATCATGCTGGTGGTTCATATCCAAACCATAAAGATCCTATCTTTGGTGTCTCCAGATGCTCACCTCTCATAAATCCCTGATACAATATATGTCAGTTTTTTATCATATCTCATTTCTGGTTTTCCAGCCACCAATGTCATGAGGGTTTTCCTCTACGGTAATTGGTCCCGGTTTGAACGGTCACACTTTGCAGCTGTACCATTAACCCACTCTGGCTCCCTGCTTAGGGCCACAAAGTGCTCTAAAGGCCAATTCTAAAATATGGAAGATCCCCACTACTAACTTCTCTTCGGTTCAACTGTTCCCTGTAAATGCAACAGTTCAGCCAAGTGCTGATTTATTTTGCAGTTTTGCAGGCTAATCCATCTCTTCCATATCCGTTTTCAGTAATATTTTCCAATGTGATACTTTATCAAATACACCTCTACTCTAGCTTCAACAGAGATTAAACCTACTGCATTAACAATGTAAGAACTCATTTATGTTAGAAAAGAGTTTTTAATTAATCTGGCATGAACCACCTTGATAAATTTATCCATTAAAATCAGACATGTCAACTACACAAGTCTTTGGCAAATGCTTTTCCACTTTTTTTTTTCCCCCCCACCTTTAATTTGAAGTTCTTGTCAACCATGCTAGCTCCAGTTCCAGAAAACTTCCGCAGGAGGTGTTTGGGTAAGTGTTCATTTGTGTTATCAGTGTCTTCCAATACTGTTTGGGCAGGTATTCCAAGCAGTCAGAGCCTGCATCCTTGAACTTTTTGTCTTCATTATCCTGTTGCACCTTTTCATTTCTTCTCTGGGAGGAAAGAATCCTGATGATTGCCCAAGTCTCCATTTCTTCGAGCATTGCTATAATTTTCACCAGCCCGGTGAAGATGGTCTGGTACAATTCGGTGGGAATCTGATGGTGTTGTTTGACCAAATGTAGAAGATAACTGGTAGGGTTTTCTCCATTGGCCTCAGGTCAATGTCCCACAGTTTCTTCCCTGCTAAGTAATAAACCCCAGCTTTTCTGGGTGTACTCTGAGTAACGGACTGTCCCTTCGTGTGTCACCATACACACTGAGTAGTGTCTTTTAAGTCCTGAATTTCAGGTTATACCCTATTGTTTCTTCTTTCAGGAAAGCATTCTGCCCTGTGGTATCTTGTGAATTCTCCTTGTGTGTGTAATGTCCTTGGTTTCCGTGTCTGTGTGCAGTGTGCCAAGACTTGCTTTTCTTCTCATCTTCCTTGGCACTTTGTCTTCTGCCTACTTCTTTTTACACTAGTGTGAACATTACTTTTGATTCTGCTTCTCTTTGTACTAGCTGATCCCTTATTATTTCCTGACCTCCTATTCTTCAAAGTCTGCCTTCTAGAGTTTCTTCGCTCTGCATATGTTAGGAGATGATGGACTGTCTGTGCAGCATCCTTTTTCCTCCGTAATGATTTTGAATTCCCATCTGAACTCCATTTGTATTTCTTGGATTTCCTCCTGGTATACAGGAGTTTTTGCTCCTGATACGGCATGAGTTCTGTCGGGCAACACTTTCTGGAGTAGCTTCTACCAAGTACCCACTGAAAGATAAAGTATATTATTTACCTTTTGTTTACTGCCATCTCTTGATGCTCTGGTCGAAACTTCATTCCTAGAGTTCATCTTTTCTGTCCAACCCTGACTTTGAAGAGGGAATAAAGACAGTCCCCCAGACTTCCTCCCAAACGAATTGCCTCCAACATGCAGTCCTTTGTTTCCTGCACCCTCTGCAATGCATGATTTCAAATATGCAAGTGTTAGAGAGGAAACATAATGTACGTAGTACAAGATCTCTTAAAAATTAGTGATATAATCTTAATACAAAATTGCAATGTTACAACTTTGTATTTCAATCTAAGAAATGTCTTATGTCCCTGAGAAAGTGTATTTTTGGCATGGGACGTGAGGCATTAGACCTTAAACCTGCCATTAGCCCAGGAACTATTACTCCTTGTTCCACAAGTCAACCAAGTATAATTTGATGAAAGAATGGAACTCTGAGCAGAGAGGGTGATGCTGCTAAGTTTCATTTTAACAGACAGCATGTGGATCTGTCTGGGAGCTTTTAAATTAGTCACAACAATGGTGGATGAAATACCCAAGGGAAAGTCATATAGCCAAAGATGCATAATAATGCAATATATCACACAGCACTACTGTTTATGCCACAGATACCAGTGAGGTCAGCAGGATTCTGGGATTTTTTTCAGGTTAGTATGAAAGCTGTAGGGAAGTGAAGTAGCTGGGATTGTATGTGGTATAGATCTTCTGTAAATGGTGATGACAATCTCTGGAGAAAATTTTAGAAGGGCAAGGAATAGCTAGCTACAGGAAACAGTAAAGACTTGAGATAACTTTTATATGTGGATTTTTTTTAATTTCTCTGTTTTCAAATGGAAAGCATTTGGGCATATTAATCCAATACATTCAGGACAATGTATGATAAAACCATTCCAGATAGAAATACATTTTGAAAGCAGTGACCCCACCCAGATAAATAATAGGCATATCAATGGAAAGATGCAAGATGCCAGAATGTAGGAGTGAGTCAATCCAGCAAACACTTTTCAGTAAATAAGGGAGTCTGTGGGGGACTGTTTATCATGAGCAAAAGGGACAGAAGCTCCCCCAAACTGTAATAGTTAACATTTTCTTTGCTTTAAAATAGTACATTTAAATTATATATATTCTACATATACATATATAAAGATATATATGAAGATATAAGGTATTTGTGAATGTTCTTATTGATTGACTATCGGATTTGTGTGTGGCATTTCATCTCAGTAAAATGTGAAATCAAAAAAGTCTCCCTCAGGAAGTGCCATCTTAAAAGTGCAAGAGAGCCTGAAAAACAGAGGAGAAGTTATTCTACTAGACCTACCCTTGTAAGTGATCTTTCAAAATTATTATAGGAAGGAGACTGACACACACATAGTGGGATGAAATTCTTTCCCACCATGTAAGTACACAGACCCGTAACAGGTAGGGTAACACTTTTTCAACATTGAACAGCTACCAGTAGGCTGCTGAAGAGTTGGCTGCTAAGCTGTAAGAAGAGATGTTTTTCCTGACAGTGCAGTGAACCAAAATTAGAAGTTATTTTCTTCTCATTTTTACAACCACTTTGTTACCTTAACGAATGAAAATATGTGTTAATACAGTAGCATGGTCTTCTAATTTAGATAGGTCTGAAATTTAAAATAGCAAAGATGCTATTTTAGAATCCATTAATTTGTCACTGTTGTTGTTCAGAATAAATTAACATTTGAAATTATAACATTCTAAATCCTGGATTGAAACAGTAAGTTGCTAAACCATCCATTCATGAGCTGTGTCTATATGAATATTTTTAACATCACCTAAAATGTAATGAGGAATGGGCTATTTGGCTGACATTTAGTGTGGTCTACCAAAGGAGAAAGGGAAATTAATAAAAGGTAAAATAGGGAAGGGATGAGGAACAAGAATGAACAAGATAAACTGATTTGCTAACAAACCAGAAAGGTTTCTGAAAAGTCAAGTATAAAAATTGCTACAGCCCCTGGCCAGGTTAGCCAAGATATACACAAAGAATCCACACAATGGCCTTGGCAGCATTACGCTGATAATGTTTTTGCAAGGCTGAATTAGTGCTGAACAATATTCTGGTATGTTGGGCACAAACATACTGATATTTTTATTAAGTGTCAAGCATGTATATATTCCTTTTTTGCCTTCAAGAAAAACATCTGCCACAGTTAGTTAAAAGAAATTCCCACCTGACTCCTGTTTGAGTTTCTGTGCATGTCAGCTGTGTGGGACTCTCGCGGTTTCTGTGTGTGTGTGCACGTGTTCCTGTTTTTCGAGATCTAGCCAGGACAGATGTAGCAGGCGGTGGTGAGGGCAGCAGACTCCTTGAGAGTTTTGGGTAATTCCGCTGCACTCTCTCCATCACTTGCTACCATTGCACATTTCACCGGGAGGATCCCTCGACGGAGTGTCAGCAGCAATGCTGTTAGCAGCTTTCCACACTGGTGGTTCTACTGTTTGGGGACTGCAGGTGAATTTGCGTATTTTGGTATTGAAGGATCACGCGCCAGTCATGCATAAGAAGGGTATCTGTCACAAAATCTCTCAGCCTCAGAGACTGAGAGGGCAGAAGTGCTGTCACAGGTGACAGAAGAACAAAAAAGAAGCTCCTCTAGAGTGTAAGCTATAAAGACTGAAGCACTGACTGCATGTATGTATCCAGTGAAAATGGTACGAAAATGTTCTGTTTGTTTGTTTATACGGTTTTGAAGGGGCAAAAGGTGATCCTTCCCATTGGTCATTGCTTAAATCTGTGTAACATTCAGACAGGGATAAAAGCTGTACATTAAAACCCCTAAACATTTAATGGAGTTTACACAGGCACACACACGCTCACATCTAGAGATGTATGCATGTGTGTATAAAGATGTATATTAACAAGTGTATATAGAAATTTAAAAATTTGAAAGTCCCTAATGCTAACAATAAAAACGCAATGTTTTTTAAAAGAAAGCTCTAGGAATTCTCAAAGGGAATTGGACTATTTTTTGGTATCTAGAGTTCATAGGTTCAGATTTCCTAGCCTTAATAACATTAGGTGATTATTGTTGAAGATTAAAAAGTAGCCTGGGGAAGCAGTGTGATCTAACAGATAAGGCATTTACCCAATTATCAGGAGGCCAGATTGAAATTGTTTCTGTGGAAGTCAGTAGGAAAATTTCAGGGGATTAGTTTTTTAACTTCAGTCTTACACCTAAGTTGGCATTTATCTGCAGTATGGCCTTGTACAAGTTATTTTTCCTTCTTTGTGCCTTTTTTTTTTTTTTTCTGTCCCATCTATCATCCTGCCTTGTCTGCAGATACAGGGAAGCTTACAGGGCTCTGCCTGCTTTTTTCTGTGTGCTGAATACTGAGACCTGAATTTTGGTCAGGCTGTGTGATACTGTCTTAGAAATAGTAACATACTGGCACAATAATGGACAAGCAATAAGCAATTAAATTATCACTAGTTTCTTTTCAAGTTTGATCAGAAATTTAGGAGTTACTAAAAATTCAACTTTCATGTATGTGAGCTGGGGTTTACCAGTTCAGTATTTTAAGAGTGCACTCCGTTTCAGATGACTCTTGTATCAAGATCCTGCGTTAACATCTTAAATTTTAAAATAAACAGTAATATCAGAAATACCTTTCCTTCACTGTAGACTGTACATTTTCCATTTTATTAAGCTAGTGGTGCTAGACAGTAAGACAGTTACCCAAATTATTCTTGGTTTTAAACCTCATCTAAATTACCACAAATTATTTCAAATCAGACTGAGATGCAATGGTGATTTGAATTTCAAGTCCTTTTGAATTTCAAGCTGCAAGACATTGACTGCAAGACCTGGAAGACAAATTCCAGGTTGCAGACTGCTGGAGGGAAGAAGGGCATAGAAAAGGGCAAATGAGTTACTTGAATGTCTAAGTAGGATTTTTGCATTTATAAAGGCCACTAACTATCAAGAGAACCAGGGAATAGTAGCTGCAGTATTTAGCTTTAGGCTCTTCTTAAAGTCTCATGTGACAAAAAGCATGGAAATTTCCTCTTCCCTGACCCTAACAAAATTGCTCTTTTTTTCTTTTCAGTATTCATTGTCTACTATATGGAAAATAACAGGCACTAAGTCAAAAAACTAATGAAAAAAAATTAACATGACCAACAAATGAGAGCAAATGGAAACTGTTACCCACGTGGAAACACATTTAAAGTGCAAATAGGAACGATGAATGTTATTAAATCACATCAGTTGTTGTTAGCCTGATCCTGACCCCTTTCAAGTCAATGGCAGAACCCATTAAATGTCGGTGCAAGCTGTGTTTTTCTTAACTGAGATATGTTAAAATCCAAGATGAACATTTGTACAGACCAGCAGACAGGTCTTTAGCATAATATGCTCTTCTTCATGATGGGTACCTTTACTTCTTCCATACTACGTTGTGCTGCCCCTGATTGTGGTGTGGGATCAGTCTGGAGCAGGCCTTTTCCTCTGTTCAGCATAACGCGTCACAGACAGTTGTGCACGCCTAAAGAATTATGTAAATAATTGATGGAAATTACAGCATTATATGGAACAGTTGCCTGAAGAGTGCTGTTTCTCCAGGAGAGTCTGTGGCTGTCTGTTAATAAACCAGTTATTGGCAATTACTTCTGGGCTGAATAGGCCCCTGTGTGGTTTCATCTGTTTGGTTTGGCTGTTAGCATTTACATAGTTGTTCTCAGCCTTACTCTCTGCTGTATTTTGAATCATTTGTGGCTTAGAGGCAGAAAGAAGAAAAGCGTAAGTCAAGTCTGAGCTGCAAATCCAGTTTGGGATTCTAGTACCTTCTTGATGCTGAAAAAAAAAAAAAAGGTGTGCATTTTGAAGTCATTATGAGGCAACTACCATGTGTTGGCACTAGCAATGAATTATTGCTGCAGGAGCAACGCTTTTAGAGAAGGCAAAGAGCAGACCTGGGTTTGGTCCATAGTTTAAAAGCCAGGAAGTATAAATCCTGGCTCTAGGATAAATAAGTCAGCTTGGTCTGTCTTTTCTTTCTCAGTCTGAACATGAAAAAGTTTGTAAACTGTTGATATTTAGTTAATAAACTGGAGTGCAATGAAATTTAAAGACACACAAAATTTCTTCAATGTGATATACAAATAGATTACCGCATTTTCAGCATTCCAATCTTATGATCAAGTGAAGTCCAGGTCAGGTTTCATTTAACCAAGTTAAAAGAGCAATGTGAATGGTTTCAGGTACCTTACATGGAGTTCAGCAGCATATTCACCCATATATTTCAAACTCACATTGAGTAAAGACTAATAACAATGGTAGAGTAAATCCACATCTCTTCAACAGACTTTGTCTGTCTTAAATTTTTCTGTTTAGCATGAGTGTACTTCAATGGTACTTTAATTTCAATAATTCATTGCTGAATTTCATGGAATCTAGGTTGCTCATTTTCTTGACTAATTCTTCTTTGAACAGTAAGTAATGACTTTGCTTCATGTATAAACAATTATTCAGTTTTTTTACCAGCTATATCAATTATATCTCAGTGTTAGAAGCATGAATAATGGCAGAACATTTACTTTTTTAAATTAAGATTGGATATTGTCTAAGCAAAAAGGGAATTTTAGACAGCTAGTCAGATACTTTAAATAACCTGTGGCATAACTTGATCTATAGTTATAGATCAATTTGCAGGACTGAGTTGCTGAAGTGTAGGTCCTTATGTAATATTTGTAGTGTAAAAGTAAGAGGAAGCGTGGAGTAGAAAGATCATCTGTTTGTAAGATGAGAGAAGTTACAGAGTAGACATTAAAGCGACAGCAACTCTATAATAATAATAATAATATTTAGATGGCCTATTTAAATAGACTTTCCAGGGAGTCCTGATTGTTTGGAACGGTGATGTCTATGCTCTCTAACTAGCTGAGACAACATTTATTTGGTTCAAGTGTGTGAGATACTCGGGTTCAAAGGTGAACCTGGATCTATGCCCCTCACGTTTCACTTCAACCAGCGCAATGCCTTTTCTTCCCCTTTTTACTGGTTAAGCATGCACTCAAGAGCAAAGATTAGAGCTAGATAAATAAAGGTGTGTGGGAACTTCTACATGCTTAGCTTCTGAGTAATTTTTGACAGCTCTATTGCTACCATATCATGTGGGATACAGATTAGCCAAAACTGGTTCCCTGGCCTTTTTTGCATAAACGTGCTACATAAAACTTGCATTCCATAATAGCTGCAACTTTTCTACAAAAGCACAAGTATTGGATTTGTAGTGGAGAATGAATTGATGGACTCTCTGGTTCCAAATGGAAGCTGTATACAAAAAAATTATACAAAAAAGTTATACTTCTGTGGCTAATTCCTGCTTTTCTCATCAGACTGTACAGGAGGTAGAATAAAAGCCTGTGACTTTGCACCTACTGAAACACTCATGCTGTCAGGCACAAAAATGATGGGGGGAATATAAACCTGAATTTTGTTCACATAAATCTCCATTTTTCTACTGTCAGTTTTGTTTTAAAACTTATAGAGTTGCACTGAAATCCATTGAAATAGAACTGTCAGTGAAATGGAGAGATAACTCAGCAAAAATAAAAGTGTTAGGAGTAGACAAGCAACAGCTGTTTATGAGGATCTGCATTTTGTATCATAATTATTTTATAATGGAAGACTTCCATTATAAACTTGATTAAAAGAAAAGGGACAATTTGTTGTCCTTCATCATTAATGCTGAAGAAGTGATCTCAGCATATATCTGTGTGTGCAGATTCAAAACACTTTCAGAGTTCTGGCTTGGGAGCCTGAGATAAATGAGAAAACAGAACATTTAGGGAAGTGAATATTCTGAAGCTTGTTAGAGTAAACTGATGTAAGCGGTACAAACTTACTTCTGGGTTAAATTAAAAGTATCACAATACTTAAAAAATCACTACTAGGATTTCAGTAATAATCACCTATTTCATGGTGAGCCCTAACAGATTCTCCATTAGGAGTCTGACCAGTGGAATTGCCCTGATGCTGTTAAATAGTGTGGAAACTCATTAGTAATACATTGCAAAAGCAGTTATATACTAAGCATTTTCATTTGGAGGAGGATTTTTCTTCTCAGTTGCACTATAAATAAGTCATTCCGTATGGATAAAAATTAGTTTATAAATTTTGGAAGTTAAGACCATAGGGTGTTTTTCTTCAGGGGCTTATATTCTGTGAAGGCATCTGAAAATCATTAAAGTCTGTTGATACGGAGCGGTGTCCAAGAAGAGGAGCTGTGGTCTCTGCAGGGATCAGTCAGGACTTAGTGACTCCCTCTTACAGAAAGAGAGCGGTGGTGGTTGGGTTTTTCCCAACCACGGTCACACTCTTGCTGAAGTTTGAATGAATTTGACAGGATCTGACGCGAACTAGTAGACGGGCTGCACGACGTCAGCATTGCTCTGCAGCAAGCGTCGCATCACGGCAGCCGAGTTTAAGCGTAGGTAGAGAGCAGACACAGAGCCAGCTGAGCTCGGTCCTTGGCTTTATCCCGGGGGAGATCTTGTCACCGTTGGTGGTGCTGACCCGTGCAGCGGACACCCCGTCACCCAGGCTGCCGCGTCCCGTGCCCCAGTGCTGCAGCCGACCAAACGTCACGCCGGCGCGGAGGCGAGAAGGTGAGGGGCGGCGGCAGAAACACGGGGCGAGCGTCGGGATGGGAGCAGCAGCACGCGTGCTCTGCTCAGGCAATGGGCCAGGCTTCTCGGGCACCGACAGGCTCCCCCCTCCTCGCACACCTGCCCTGCCGTTGCTGCGCGGCCGTTGTGCCCAGTGCTCTTCCTTTTGAGCGGCACGCCGTGAAATCCCCACTTCTGGGGGCTCTGGCCGTTCCCAGAACAGCGGCCGTGGCTCTGAGAAGCTCGGCTGGAGGGTCATGGAGGGAGCGTGTGACAGGCACCCAACCCACGGGTGAGCAGGGAAGCGCTGTCTGGCACCGCGCTCTCAAGATGTGTCCCGTGAGAAAACAGCGTTTCGCTTTTACATTACCAGAACTAATCCCCTACTTTAATACTCTCTCTGCTTCCCCACCCATTAGCACTTACAGTAGTTCAAAACCAGATTTATATATAAAGTGCCAGTTGCAAAATTGGTAACCGGCTTGCTTCTGTAGCTGGTGTCAGCAGGACAGGAACATATGAGTCCGTTTTACACTGGCCTTTGCAATCATCAGCAAGTGCATTATGCGAGAGAATTGAGAAAATACTTGTCAGAAAGAAATATTTGTTAATATTCTTTTAGTTTACTCTAACAGGCAACTATTGTTTCCCTTTCTCCTTAATGAGGTTTTGTTTAACCATGCAGTGAGTCTCAGGTACAGATGTTAATTCGATATTCTATTTGTATCAGTGTAATTTACCTTATATTAATGGCTGCAAAAATTAAATAGTAATGTGCTGAGAACATGGTAAATAAAAATATGGTTTCTGGCTTGCCAAATCTTCATCACTGAGCATATTTTTCCTTAGTGGTTGCCTTGCTGTAGTAAACAAGGTTAAGGGCTAGGCCATTTTATTAGTAACAATTTGGTACTGATGCACGAGAAAATTAATTTCTGTCCTTCCTTTTCAAAAGAGGAAGTTGCTGTTTTGCTGTAGCATGACATACAAAGCCATAAAAAAGAAACAAACAAATTTTGGTTAGGATAACCAAATACATTTATTGGTACTACAAAACCAAGTTGTTCTGTGATACCAAAAACCACAGTTCTTATATGATTGTTTAGTTAGTGATAGAATTAGAAGCAGCACTGTGACTTTCTTATTTGTGGATAAATGTACTGAACAGCGCAAATATCATGCAGAATTAAGTTTCAAGTTGTATTGCTCTCTTCTGAAAATGCAGAGTTGAGTAACTGAAGCCAATACTAGCAGGCATACATGAAATGCAGGAATCAAGCTGGAAATCCTTGTTCAAGCAGAATTTCCATAAAAATGCATTTTGGAAGTAGGCGTCAGCAAGCACTCAGAAAGATTTAGTGATGCTTGTTAACATGAAGAAGCTGTTTCCAAATGCTTTCCACTCTGATGCATAGATTCATGGGGTTTTTTCTTTTATTAAAATGCTAGTCAAGTGCAGGCACTGCCGATGATTTAACTTTAACCTGAATTGGTGACAAAGCCTGTGGAATTCTCAAGAAGTTTTTAATTGGATCTGAAATTGAGATGAATACACAACCAGAGGGTTCAGACATAACATACATAACAACAGTTGCTGGAACTGCAGTGAGGACAATGGATTCCTATTGCCTTTCCCATACTGTGGCATTGGGCGATGGCTTGGTCTCGGCAGGAGATGACGCAGGGATTAAATATCACTCTGAATGCTGCCTGAAGTTGCGGGCATCAAATTGTTATGACTGGTTCTTTTAATACGCTTCCAAATACTAGAAGAAGTGTCAGATGCATTTATATTAAAGCCAAATATGGTTTGGAAAATAGTGGAAAATACAGAGGTGAATCTCTTTCTTACTGAAGTGAACAGCAGGATTTCCTTTTACTGTGGACACCAACCTGTGAAGATAAAGTGCCTTCATTTGAGAATGGGCGACCCTAATAAAATGAGAAGTTTGGCAATTATTATGTGACATATTATCCAATATCTCCAAGGAGATTTTCTCTCTGAAAATATATGGACTATGTCTCTCTGAATTAGTAAATCTTACACTTGTCTGTTCACCTCTTTTTTTTTCACCTCTTCAACCTTCCTCCTTAGAGACAATAACAATTTCAACTCACATACATGTGATTGCCTTGAGAATGTTTCTAAAATGCTTTTGGATTTACTCTATGACTTGAATAATC